TATATTAATATATATATAAATATATTAATATAAAAATAATATATATATATGTAGACATACGAAATTATTATTCTATTATTATTCTTATCAAATAATAGCAAAATAAAAAATATCATATCAAAAATATGAAAATAAAAAAACTTAATATTATTAAGATGTTATTTTTAATTTTGATTTATTTTATTTTAAGAAATAAATAAAATTTTAATTAAATGAAACAACAAGAATATTATATGTTTCAATTTATCTTGTATAATATTAAATATTAATATTAATTATATATTTTTCTTTTTATTTTGTTTTATTAATCTATATGTTAACATATTTAATATAATGAATTTATCAGAAAAAGATGGATAAAAAATGGAATAAAAAATAATAGTACATTAAATAGAGAATGATTCTTTGTAAAAAATAAGTAAAAAATTTATCATGAAATTTTTATATAAAGCTTTATTTCCAAAAAAATTGATTTATTGATTGATAATTATTATTGATTGATAATTCATCAGATATATATATGTAAGTAAATATATTATGTATATAGCTGAGAAATATTCAGCTCCCTTCTTATTCACCTACATGAGATGCTATTATGATTTTGTTTGTAGATATGAGGCCAATATCTATGCCTATTTTATTATGATTGTATTCCCTTTATCACAAATATCCATTGAAACCTGCATTCCTTTCAGAGGACTTCTTCTCAATAATCTATAGTAAGAGTATTTCTTTATATTATTTGTGATTGAATATGAGTTGGCTATAATAATTCTGTTATTGATAATGAATATTTTTTTCCATATTATTAAAAATGTTGATACTAATATAATTCAAATGATACAACAGGTTTTTGCAGATTATTTGTTTGTGTTTTTATTATTTTTATTGTTGGAAATGTTATCCCTGTTGTTGCATATATAATTCAATATTTTAAATTAAAGAAGAACTAATGGACTCTAATATGTTTTCGCTTTTTAATTTTTCAAATTCTTGCATGATTTTTTGTTTCAGTTGTATAATATTTTCAACATCTTTTTATACCTGCTGTTTGATATGCTCTCATAAGTGAAAATCAAGGGGTTAAAATGTGGCGATTAGAAGGTACTGTACCAACGCGATTGATTTAACACAAATAATTTTAATCTCAGAATTTATAACTGATCTAAATTATGACAGTGCTCTATTTTATTAAATTAAATAGTTTCTTATCAATAGAAGTATTTTTTTTTATACAGAACATGATTCATTGCTATATGTTTATAAATCATGTATTTGATAAATTTTTAAAATCTATTTTTCTGGAAATGAAGCCTTAGAAAAGAAAATTTTATAATAAATTTTTTACTTAATTCTTTATATAAAAAATAGTTTTTTTTACTTATATTATGATTTTCATCTCATCCTGATCCTTTACATTAATACAACATTAATACAATACAATAATACAATAAAATTGATGCTATATATAAATTATTTATAAAAATATAAGTTAAATTTACTTCATAATATATGTTTTTAAATTTTTATTTCTT